AACCATGACGTGGGCTGTAAAGAGTTCAATTTTTAAGACATTATAGAAATACAAAAGAAGCAATTCGTTTTCATTGATAAAATATGTATCTTTCAAAATGGAACATTAAACAGCTCCTGGCAAAATAATGAACAAGGGTGTTAGACCTAGAAAAATCAATGACAAGGTGTAAGTCTGTGGCAAATGGATTACATCCAATGCCAAACCCTCCCCCCACACACTCAATGACAAGGTATCAGTAATTGTGTAAATCGAGTAAAAAAGTATGTTTTGTTTCTCTTATCATGTGCCAAAAGTGCTATATTCTAAACTGTAATATTGAAATGCCACATCATATTGAAGATTTAATAGTAGATACGCTATTCTAGCAATCATATGAATACAATTAAATTGGAAAAATTTGATAAGAGTGGTCAATAAAACATTTTAAACATTTTGAAGATGTACAATGAAAACCAAAAATGCATTATTTTTCAGAAATAAACCTTAAAACAATATCAAAAAATTAAAATTGAAGTTACAAGATTTGCTATAACGGTGTACCTACCATTAAATAATTGTGTTGTTTCGATATTGCAATTTAGAATATAACGATATTGACACATGTTATACGAAATAGCAACTAGAAATAAATGAGACATTCTTTTTTCAGGCACAAGCCACTAAAGAAATATATGTTAGATAATTAAGCAGAACAATTTAGACCAAGTATTACATCTTTTTCCCTGCCATTGTGTTTTTAATTCCATTGAACTTATTGGAGACCTTTCCAAGCAATATTATAATAAAAATATTGTTACGTTTGTTTATTCTAAACAACAGTTTATTTGTTATTATTTTATTTGGACACTTGTTTATTTTAAATTTTAAAACAATACTATTCTAATTTATATGTCTTTAAATTGTCCACTATTTATCATCACAACTGTTTGTATACTACTGACTGTTCCGTGTTCCTCCACCAATATTTATATACACATTTAAAATTATGGTGAAGGTTCTAGTATGTTCTTAGCCATAGTCGTCACATATGTTTGGGCTTAAGGGGTTCAATTATGTATGATAATCAGACAAGTTGAGCCTCAAAAGCCAAATAAAACAGAGAGGGACTTGGAGGATTATAGCATGACTACGATTCAAATACTTGCAATCTGGATTAGGAGAAATAATTTTAATAGGAATTACGAAGATTAGTAGATGAATAATTGTTTCTAATGAGAAAAGAATATATACATAAAAAAAATATCTAATTTTTAAAATACTAAATATTTTTTACATATCTGTATTTTTATTTAAATTATTCCAAAATATAAAAAAAATATAAGAGTGCTATGCAAGTCATACAATTCAGTAATATTTACAATGATTGGAAAAAGACTAGTGCCAATAAACAAATATGAGAGTAGATATAGCAAAAAGTAAAGTATTTCACATTTTCATATTGCTAAATCCACTGAGATCCACATTTTTTAAATGTCTTTTGAAACTGGTAGGATGGAGAATCTTGATGTTTAAGTGATGAATCTATTGTTCACACATGTTTCAATAACTTTAGAGTAGAAAAGAAGCAACGATATCAGTCTATTTTTGAAGCCTTTATAGCTTGAATACTTAAGATACAGAACCGATACTGAAAGTGAGATTTACTAAAGTACCTACTCAAATATTTTAACAATTTCCTTCTTGTATTCAAATATTTTAGCAATTTCAAACTTTAATTCTTTAAGAACAGATATCTACTATCTACTGATATTATGACGCATTTTTTCAATGATCTCTTTAATTTTATGGGGTGTTGTAATTTATAACTTAAATGTAGTTCTGTTAATAACTTTCTTTCTCGGTGAAATTAAATTAGTTTTACATATTTTCTGTGCCAATTCTGCATCAATTTTGATCTATCTGCAATATACTACCTTGCAGTTTTATTTTACATGACTTGCAATATCTGCAATATCTTCTTCTTTCTTCTTCCTACAACATCACATACACTTGGTGATTGGTTCATGGCCCAAATCTTATATAATAAATAATAAATATTTCTTCACTCATGGTTTACATCTTATTACCTATACCCTGTCATGGGTTTACCCAAGAATTTTTTTGTTAATACTTGCCACCACCTGTAGAGGCCTTAACTTGACAGGTCTCCTTTCAAAAATGTTAGTTTTTTGAAAAAAACAACAAGGTTGTTTAAAATAAGCCTTATCTTTTAATCTGTTTAATGTATGTGATTTGTTTTGTATGGTCTTGAATATTTTAAATTTTTACTATTTCAATTGACTAATATTTGTTTTTTCAAATATTTTTAACTTTTTATTACTTGTAAACTTTGTTCATTTTACAATTTATTTCACCCCACATTTGATGAAACTTGTTTTGTAGTATTCCCTAGTAGATGGAGAGTATGGTGAATTTTCTCTTTTTTACTATTTTATATATCGTTTGCTCCAAGTTAACACACCTTACACCACATATTCTCCTTTCCACTAGGCGAGCCTGAAGATGAAGTGATGACACTTCGAAACCGGTCGCACTCAATGTTTTGTTAAATAATTAAACATTGACTTTCCTTGTGAGATATAAAGGACTTTTTTCCCCCTTCACCTTAAAACTTGCAATATGTTTACAGCTTTTTTTGTTCAGATGTTTATTGTGCATAAAGGAATTCAATAGTTTCTATTAGTTATATACATTTAAAACGAATTGTTTCTACTACTCCTACTAGTAACACTACTAGTAACAAATACATAACCTTACAATTTCAAAACTTTCTAAATTACTCAACTAATCTGACGATTATACAACATTGCAAGGCCGTGACGTCATAAATGATCTCTGACGTGCATCGAGATTTGTATTAAAAATATTATATTAATAATTTACGTAATTATACCTATCTTATTTCACCAGTTTTTGGATTAACTCCCTGCACGTGTGTGTTTTCTTTATTTGTATTTGGTTATCAATGTATCAGTGATTTCCTTGACTTTTTCATCATAATATACTTATTATGTGTCTTATCAAAAGTTACCTACTTGAAAGCAATTATAAAGAAAATGCCTGGGAAAACGTTAACTACAGAAAATCGGCAGTTTGTATTAAACCAAGGAGAAAGAGAAAAATAGACCTTTACTGCCAGTATCAGCGGTACAAGAACTGAGTTGAAGATTTAATGAAAATTAATGTTTGTAGTGAAATAAAACTCGTAACGCTTTGCCAGTCGTATAATGTACCCAAAACAAAGACTGTTTATATAAGTAATGTTATTAGAGAGACACAAAATGTTATTTATACTGTAATGCGAGCCATTTTATTATTCAGTTATGCTCTAATCGTCTAAGTCCCTCTCTGTCTTATTTGGCCTTTGAGGCTCAACTTGTCCGATTATCATACATAATTAAACCCATTAAGAACAAACATATGTTACGACACCAGAAATTTCAATATTGGTGGAGGAACACGAAGTCAGTCAGTTGTACAAACAGTTGTGAAGATAAATAGTGAACAATTTAAAGACATTTAAAATATATATAAATTAGAATAGTATTGTTTTAAAATAAATAAGTGTTTAATTAAATTATTAACAAAATGTTGTTTAAAATAAACAAACATCACAATACCTATCATGAAAGAAACATGTAAGACTTAAAATTTAAAGAATAAGCACATTTTCGATTCTTAAACAAGTTTACGAAGTGGTTTTTCTTTAAAGATTTCTTTATCAAAGCGATTATATTTTTTTGAGGCAATACATGAAATATTCCTTAAGTTTAAATCTATTAAAATTCGTATATTTGGAAAAAACGTGGATATTTCTGAGAGGGTCATTTAAACGGAGTTGGTAAGATGCAAATGTAAATAGTTTCAAGAAATACTACTCACATACATAGATAAACGGTTTGTGGTCGTACATGCAGGAAATAAAAACAGGTTTATATAGAAAATGGTAGTTTAATATTTTCTACAAAGTCCAAAAGTGACTATCATGACTGCATAGATAATTAAACTTTTAAAAAGTGGATTTTGGTAAATTGTCCTAGAGTTCTTGTATTAAAGTGCTGTTAAAGGACCGGTTGCGGGAAAGAAATATACGTGGATTACGAGTTGACCATTTTTGTCTTTTATGTTATGTCATTATTCCAAATTGTATAGTATATGTTGAGTTTGTTTTAAATATCTTCGTTATTAGGCGTCAGATGACTTATATCTTTTTATCATTATATATTATATAAGGCTTGGAATAGAATATCACCAAAAATTGAATCATGTCCTTTTACATTTCGACCACAGAAGTGGAACATACACAATATCAAGTACTTGACCATTTTGAACAATTTAGTATATCTAATGATCTCTTTATAGCATTTTGATATATTTGTACATGTTTTACACTTTATGGTATCAAATAATTAATTCTTGAAATATTTCACAATTTTTTCGCGAGTTAATTATTTTATTTCAATATTACATCTAAAAATTTTAATCTAGCAGGATACCTATTCTCTAACTCATGGGAGCACTCCCACACTCCCATGCTCCCATACTCCCATGCCAACGTTGCCAAGTCGTCAGAATAACTTTGATCTACTATTTAAGGACCGATCCACCGTTGTGTTAAACGAAGTTTAAAATGACATTTTTACATTAACAATGTCATTTTAATCTCCGTTTAACTCAACGGTGGAATCGGCCCTTAGTAGTTCAAATTTGCTTTGTGATAAATACGGACCTAATCTGGCAAGCCCGCAATTCTCCCTCCCATAGTATAAAATCTGACCTTACTACGCATGTACTTGGGCTAAAAATGAGTAAGCACGCTATACCCACCTAAGAGTAAGAGAGCAAAATATATGGGAGCACTCCCATGGGAGCGCTCCCATGACTTAGTGAATAGCTATCCAGATAAGTTTATGATCGGGTCTCAACCGCAAATACCGATAAGTTTCATAGGTTATGATATTACAATTCTAAACAAACTGTTTTCCACCCAAACTCACCTGATTGTCGAATTCATTGGACTCCATTTCTTCAGTCAACAAATAGAATCTGGGATCTGTTACACCTGCCCATTCGCTGTTAGGTCGGTATTTTGCAGCCAATTTCGGTAAAAGGTAGGAAATAGTTTCTTGATCGACGGCCATGTTGATGGGTTCCAGTTGTCCTCTGTTGTTGAAGTACCCTCCACCAGCGGACGTTTCTTCACTTCTGATACCCACGACCAGCGTGGCACAGACTAGGTACAAAGGGGCTCGCATGTTTAGTATCTGAAACAAAAGAGCATATTTTTAAAGTAATAGACCAATTGTATCCGGTAGCATATTTCAGCATCCAAGGGTTATATCAAGAAGTACAAAATGCAGCCTTTCGGAAGAAACCGAAGGTCTAGAATCCCTAGGTAATAATAGAAATTCTCTTTCTATAATTAACCCTTTCACGAGTGAACCCTTATTACATCTTTAAATACTGGAAAAATACCTTAAACTTTAAAAAGTAGCACAATTATTCCTATTCAAAAAATTATTAATACTACTAATAATGCTAAAGAATTTCGCCACATTAATATTTTACCCCTTATTGAAAAACTTCTGGAAATTGCAGTGTATGAGCAACTATTGAAGCATGTTACTGATAATGCAGTTTTGATTAATAATCAATCTGGCTTTCGCAGAGGATTTTCTTGTGAGTCGGCATTGCAGTTTACGTTGTGTCACCCCAAAAGTAATTTCGATAAAAACAAATACACTGTTGGTGTGTTTCTGGACTTACGTAAAGCCTTTGATACTGTTGATAGAGAGATACTAGTAATTAAACTAAAACAATATGGTATAGAGGGTAGTGAACTTGATTGGCTTTGTGGTTACTTGCAAAACCGCAAACAACGAGTTCGTTATGTGATCAGATATCTTCTGAACTAGGAAATAATACACGTACAATTGTCTTTACACAAACAAAGAGAGGGTTACGGACAGAGATATTCTATGAAATGGATGAGGTAACTCTCAACTTTGACCGAACGGGAGTTTTAGTAAACTTTAATAACAAATCAAACAGGTGTACTAAAAATAAAAACACATTTTTGTAGTTGGTATTATTTGTTCTCACTGCTATTGTAATCTGAATACCTACTACCGTTATGATTATTTCAAAAAATAATTAAAGTTCGACAGAAATAGCAGAAGCCGCCAATATATTATGCGCATCTAGGCTTCTGTATTTCTGCTATGAATTTGTTTATAACCATATTGCCTACTTAATAAAAGAATTATATTGAATTCTATATGATAAATAAACAGAATCTCTACTTTTGAGTACGTGTTGTACGTCTTATCAAAAACCAATTTTATACGCTAGCTTTGTTGGTTTTATTTCTACATGGCAAATTTTTCAGTTCAACGATTTAGTTATTCAGATTTATTTATAGAGACATGGAAATATAAAACTATCATATAAGAGAAAATGTAATAAGCATTTGATTATTCTTGATTGACATGTCTTAGAGAGTTGTTACAATTCGTGGGAACTAATATTTTAAATCTTGTGTTACCTGTAAAGATAATAAACTACGAATACTTATAAAATTCATGTTTATCAACCGATGACTGTGTAATAATAATTATTAGTTTACATAACAGCAAATATTAAATAAATGTGAAGGTTACTATATTATTCATATACTTACAACAATAAAATTTATTTTTATAAAATGAAGATGACACTGTAGATCAAATAACATTTTACTTCTTAATAAATAGAACGAATTTCTAATAAAATAAAATGAATACGAGTGTCAATGTAATTCAATTAAAATTTGTCTTTTTGGGGTTTTTCTTAATCGCTATGTAATTTATTTATTTCTTGACTTTGAATATTATTTTGGTATTCCTATTAGATAAAATAATCATTACCAAGGCTAGTAAGTGTAATTTACAGGTCGATAACACAGTGTTCGAGACCTAGAAATACATTTACAAGCAGATATTCATACAATTTATTATATTTACAATTTTTAGAAAAATTCATTTAAAATTAAAAAAATATATTAGGAATAATTGACGGAACACCAGATTTTTGGCTTGACTGGACAAATATCAAAATGCTTCGAAATCCAACCGCAAAAAACTGACATTAAGTGGCAGCTTTGTCGTTCGCCACGCGACAAAATTGACAGCTCTGTTGCTCGCCTAATTTTAATTGGGTATAATATAATAATATATTTTTTAAATAAATGATTTTCAAGTTATTTGTACGAAGCTTCATATTTTTTTTATTATTCAAGTTAACATTGAGTTGGATTATCAATTCCTTTTTTTATGATTAAGGTATATATGCAGCACATACCGCCACGAACCAACTCCCCCAATCTAAGGTGTAAGGTAACGTGCCGACGGATGAATTGTCGCAGGGGCATATGCAGCAGCAAACACTTCCCTGAGGAAACCTGGCGACTCCCTCTTGTATCCAGCATTACCGGCGCATGCGAGGCTCTACGTCGGTCGACCTTTCCTTCCCTAGCTACTCGTGGGAACTATAGGGATCAACAAACACAAAAACAATCCAAAGAGGCTGGACGTCAACGCTCATCTCCAGTAAATGAGACTGGACACCAAAGTCCAACCCCAACGCAGGAGGCTGGACAGCGACGATCACCTCAAAAAAAGGAAGATGGACATCAACGCTCACCTCCTGCAAAGGAGCCTGGACAACAAAGTTTAGCTCCCGCACAGGAGGCTGGGCAGCGACGCCCACCTTCAAAAAAGGAGGATGGACACAGGTTCACCTCCAACTAACAGGTCCCAAAGAGACAAAAGAATCTCTCAAACAAGAAAACTCCGAGGAGCCAAAAGAGACCACCCCCTCCCCACTTTCGGAGGAAGAGATGGTCGAATAAATAACTATCTTGCTGCCCAATTTTCAACGGAGGACCGGGAAGCAAGAAAAGAGTTAACGATTATACAATGTAACTTGCAGAACAATAGGATGGCTTCGGCAACATTATGCCTCCGCCTTGATGAGCTGCAAGATACAATAGCACTCATCCAGGAACCCTGGGTAATAAAAACCAAAATTTTAGGTCTTAAAAATCTAAATGGTCCAATTTTTAGCTTTCCCAGCAACCAACAACCTAGGACAGCTATTTACATTCCTAGGAAATACAAAGCCTATTCAATAGCACACCTTTGCACCTCCAATTTTACTGCGGTTAGGATGGAATACGCCATTAAAAATGAAAAGTGAACGGTAATCCTGGCATCTGCATACCTCCTCTCCGACGCAACCACATCACCACCCAGCAAAGACATGGAGGATCTGATTGAATACTGACTGGAACAGAAGTTTGAGCTGATAATAGAATGCGACTCAAATGCTCATCACTTCAGTTAAGGCAGTAAGGATAACAACGCTAGAGGTAAGTCACTTTATGATTATATAATTACCAAAAATCTTTGTATTTTAAATAAAGGTACCACACCAACATTTTTAAACTCTCGCAGTCAGACACTAATAGATATCACTTTATCCACAACTGGAATCTATAAATCAATTCTAAACTGGCAAGTGTCTGATAACATTTCGATGTCAAACCACCGCTGGTTAACATTCAAAATAAACTTGATGTTGCCGACCTCCACGCTATCTCGAAACCCTAGGCAGACGACCAGGGATACCTATACCCACTTTCTCCAAGAGGCTCTGAGAGAGATGAGAGATGGAGGCCGAAACACCAAATAATACTACTGCTTTGGAAAAGTACACGAACACTATCCAAAGCACAATAAACAATGCCTATCAGAAATGTTGTCCTCTGAGGCTGGTCCAACACGATCAGACGACTACCGCATGGTGGTGTCAGGAGTTCTATCACCTCAGGAAGATGGCTAAGAAATATTTTAATAAGGCAAGAACCACAAAACTCAAAGAGGACTGGGATACTTACAAATCTCACCTCAGAGAATACAAAAAAATCATTAGACAAAAACAAAGAAATGCATGGAGATCCTACTGCGAAGAAATCGAAGATTTCCCGCAGGCAGTGAGGCTTCAAGAAGCTCTTTCAAAAGATCCACATCAAAGCATTGATGCGCTAATCAAATAGGATGGCACGAAAACTGCCAACCTCGAAGATAGCATCAAACTTCTGCTGTCAACACACTTCCCTGACTAGGTCATCACAGACGTGGCGAACTGGGCAGAGGAAGAATACACTCCATCTGTTTATGATTGGCAAACTGTCAAACACATTGTAGACGATGAAAAAATTAGATGGGTAATATACAGCTTCTCTCCATTTAAATCGTCAGGACCTGACGGTATCTATCCAGCCTTACTTCAGTGGGATCTAGAAGAACTCACACCGCACCTGGTGGGTATATTCAGATCCTCGTTGGCTCTGAGGTATATCCTTCAAAAATGGAGAGCGGTAATAGTAGTATTTATACCCAAACCTGCAAGGATGGATTACACTGTCCCAAAAACATGCCGACCAATTAGTCTGACGTCGTTTCCCACGAAGACATTGGAAAGGCTATGCGAAAGGTACATAAGGGATGCGGTGATTACAACAACACCACTACACCCAAACCAACATGCATACACCCCAGGCAGATCTACTGATTCATCCTTTCATCTAGTTGCTGGGCGGATAGAAAGATTCCTGGACAATAAGGAGTCCGCCTTGGATGTTTTCATAGACATAGAAGGTGCTTTTGATAAAACCACCTTCTCAAAGACAATACACTCACTAACCAACAGGAATGTTCCACAAATGGTTAATGGTTGGATACATAACATGCTCTCAAAGCAAGCAGTAAACATAAGTGTAGAAGATGTGAATATGTGAAGAGGCTTGGTTGCGAGGGGATGTCCACAGGGAGGGGTGCTATTACCTCTACTGTGGAATATGGTCCTCGACACCCTCATCAGCCGCCTCAATAATGACAGTCACTACACAATAGCATATGCAGATTACCCGGTCATTCTGCAAACAGGGAATTTTGAGAACATACTCTGCAAAAAAATGCAAGTAGCTCTAAAAATTATAGAACAGTGATGCAAGGACCAAATAAATTGTGATACCAAAAACCTGCGTAATATTGTTTTGGCCTTGTACAATTTTCGAACTTACCGAAACAATAGTAATAAGCTGGCAATACTGCTGACGAAGCTTATGCTTATGAACATCAGGACTGACCGCTCTCGGATACATTCGGGATTAATCGGAAGCCACCATAGTAGGTTACTCAGGGCTGCCGCAGAGATATTTAGA